ATCTCTTTCCCCAACCAGCTTAGGCAGGAGAAACAGCAAATTGGGCCAGACTTAAACTGTTTTTTTTTAAATTTCACCTCCGTTCCAAAGGATACAAATAAATGGCCGAATAGGGTCTGCTACCTGGTCCAGAATTGCCCAATCCATCTTCAGAGTGACAATGATCAGCGCTCCAACTGCGTCTTGATGGTAGCAAATCTGTTTCTTATCCTTCTTCCGCAAGAAAGGTTGCATATTTTAATATTTTATTCGATGTGAGTAGGTATTTGGAGATTATTCAGGGTCTGATAATTGGGTTTTTCCCACAAAAAGATGAGCCGGCTTCATGATGTCATTAAATTTCATACTGCATTTCTGCTCCGCCCTGCTAGCGACACCATTCCCGACGGGATTCGAAGCCACGTCGTATGACGAAATAGGGTGATTACATCTCATAGTACTGATTTACTGGTAGTCTTGAAACAATACTTAAATGCGAAAAATAAAGTGACGTAGTCGATTGTTATAGCAAATATACGTTTGCTTCATCGGCACACCCACCAAAGAATATGATATAGCAAAGAGGCCTCACCTTCCTTGAAATTCACATCTGCCCTCTGACCCAAGGTCACTCGTGGCAATGTGGCCGAGTGGTTGACGTGTCACGCTCCCATCCTGCACTGTCGCGGTTCGACTCCCGCTGAGGGTGTTGATAAAACCGATGTGAGTTCGCAACTGCAGTCCCCTCCAGCTGGGATGAGAACAACTTTTGGGAAAACAAGGCTCTGTGAAATTGAATGGTAACATCAGATCATCTCATACCGTTGTGGTAAAATTCTTCTTCTACCAGTCCTTTATCACCTTAAACGAAATAGGGTGAATACATCTCATATTACTGATTTACTGGTATTCTCTAAACTCTACTTACATACGAAAATAAATGCTCATAGTCAGTGCGCGATATTCTTTCATTAATATCCTCTATTTTATCCAAAAATGTAAGAAATGCTGATTCTCGATTGACTGACTCGGGTCAGGTTCGACCCTGCTGCTTAGTGCAATGCGTCTAAAATGCAGGTTTCCGTCTCCATTTCTTTCTAACCACAACCAATTATAATTGGAGGTTTGCCTTAAGCCGGTATAAATCACCGAAACCAACAAATGGGCGGATTTACCAACACAATCATACTGAACAGACAGCAAGATAGGCAGGTTGATTTGTCCACGTTCTCGAAGCAGGCACCATTGAGAGTTGGCGCTACTTGTTGTTGACTTCTTCCTCAAACTGGGCAGGAGAGAAGTTGTGGATTGGTCGTGTTTGAAGTAAGTACACATTATCCACTTACTCCTCAATGGCATAATGGGGTAGGATGCAAGATAAGTGAGTGATTAATGGGTTTTCCTTGCCCGAGTTTCTGAACCGTTCATCTTATCCATATTTATTCACGATGTAACCATCGTAACATCTACCATTTGTTTCCTAATATGCTATTTGCATCAATGTTGGAATTCAGGTTAAGTATGGCTATCGAAGTTGAATATGAATTATTGTATGTTATATCGTCATTCAATGTGATACTATACACAATTTAAGCGTAATATACATATTTATTATATGTTTTCTAATAGAACATAAATTTGGTCTAATTCTACACATTTCCAACGAATTTTCTACACATTTTATGCGGGCAGTTCAAAAAATGGCTAAACGATACAGTTTTCTTTGTATCTCTGTTGGTCTGCCAATTCGCTGGAAAAGTGAGTGTAAAAATTATATTTGCTGATGTGGAAAAACAATAGAAAACGCCTTATGATGTAACGAAATTGGCTGTCGGTATGGAAAGCAAGCTGGGAAAGTGAAATGGAAAGGCAACTTGGAAGCGCTTACACAATATTGCCCTAAACAGGGAAAAAGAGCACGAATAAGCATTCGATGATCCCAGTGGGAGAGTTGATGAATTGGACTAGCGTGAAGTATAGCTTTTTCAGGCAGTAGACGAAAAAGGAAATATGCTGGTTGCAACCGAAACCAGCATAAAGAAAAGGCCTAATCCGAGCGAATGGCTGAAGTGGATAATTCTCAATTTGCTCCTTTTGTCCGATCGTGCATGCCACTTATTTTTTAGTCTTCCTCGCGGCTCTGGTGCACCGACGTTTCAAGAACTTGCAGACAAGCTGCTGCAACTTTCTCGAGTCGGTGCTTCCGTTGGCTTGGATTCGTGTGCCTTAATGGAGGGGAGCAATTGCATCCTCACTCTTGCCTCCAGGAATGGGGTGTAAATGCAGTTCGCTTTTTGGAGTTGCGTTTTTTGTGTGCTTACTGTATGCTCTTCGGTATCTGAACTCGTTTGTATCCAGGTCGAAATATGTCTAAATGCCTGTGTAATTGTGATAAGACATGCCAGCGCTTAACTGCCCAGATCCCCGGGACAACAGTTTTGTCATTGGCCTGGACGGTCGAGGGAGTCATGAAACCTCGCTACCGAAAAGGCATTTTTATGTCGGCCGGACTGCCGTCTCAATCGCGGTTGGGCCTCATCAACACACCCAACGGGACCTGAACTCAGGTAGCGCAATTTTCTTTTTGAACACGCTACCACAATGCAATGAATGTAAATGGGCCATAGGGCAGAATTAACTTTGAAACGAGACCAGACATCTCCCAAATCACATTTTATCATAAGACTTTTGCATCAGCAAACATTTATTAGTGTTAATTATAACTTGACAAAG